CAAATACGAAGGGACGAGAAACTGTAATGATTGAAATATTGCGCTTATTCTGACAAATCAGTTCCAAAAAGAGTGCAACTGTCGTATTTCCGACTTTCGATAGTTTTCTGACATGGTGTCCGAGGCAAATGTTAACCAAACATGCCGATCGGAATGAACCTACTTGGTTGTTTGAGGGGCAATTGTGGGGGCCGAGTTTAAGTCGGCCTAGATCAGGCTTCATCCTCAAAACCACCGAATATGCAGTGATGATCAGGGTTGTGGCCGACTAAAATGTACCTTTAGGGTCAAATAGTCCATGGATCATGTGGCATTACTGGGGGTCCAGCTGTGAGGTAGGGAGCCCATAATAGAAAGTGGGCCCCTAAAGAGCAATATAAAAGAGGAGGACCATCAGCCAAAGATAGGGAGGTGATAACTTGATATAGAAGATAAACTCAAGAGAATATTAACTTGTCTGATGAAGTACTAATTTCGACACCCCCGTCGGAGTATACATCATCATTTCAGGTATCAATTCAAGGATTGAGAAAGTCTGCATGGGCCAAAGGGTATTTCCAAACCCCATCACCACAGTTTCCAAATAGACCATAATATCGTTAATGGAATAGTTGTCCAAATTTTCCTCTCTAGTTTTTCTTTGAAAATACCCTCATTTCTAAGTTTTCAAATAGACCATAATATTGTTATCAGAATACTTCTCCAAATTTCCTTCTCCAATTTGTTAAAACAACCTTTATTTCTAGACTCGAGGGAATTTTTTAGGTCCGTAAGCCCAACCCGGACGCTATTTCGATAATCGGTACCATTCATTTTATCGAACACTTTGTGTATTTCATTTATACAAAAAGTTAAGTTGATTCGATAATCGTAATTTATTCAATTTATTTCATTTGTCACCAAAAAAATATTTGACAATTGTGTTTTTAAAAATAAGCCATACATTTTATTTTATTTTTTTTGTGACAAACTCAAAAATTGAATAAATTATAATTATCGGATTGACTTAATTTTTGTGTGAATGAAATACACCAAGTGTCCAAAAAAATAAAAATAAATAAATAAATAAACGATTTAAATTATCAAAACGGAATTCGTATAGGGTCTCATGGGCCCAAACAAATTGACATCTTCCTAATTTTCCTTATATTCACTGACACTAATCTAAGTGCATGAACTAATTGCATTGTTATGAGAGTAGAAAGAGAAGAGAAAAGAGAAACTCTTGTATTCAATATATCATTAATGAATAGGTACACTCCTCTATATAGAAGAGAAGATAAGTAGATACAGAGAATATACTATATTATAGATATATATACAAATTTATTTAACACCCCCCCTCAAGCTCAAGGTGGTAATGCAGATATCAAGTTGATCTTGGAAAGTAAATCGGAAAATCGTCCTAGAGGATGAGCCTTGGTGAAGATGTTAGCCGTTTGATCAGCAAAGGTAACAAAGATAAGACAAACAGTGCCACTAGTAACGTGTTACTAGATGAAGTGACAATCAATCTCAATATGCTTGGTGCGATCATGGAAGACATCATTATATGCAATCTAAATAGCACTCTATTTGTCATAGTAGAGGTCAGTGGCAGTAGGACAGGGAATTCCCATATCAGTAAGAAGCCAACGAAGCCACACAAGCTCTTGAGTAGTATCCACAAGAGCATGATACTCAGCCTCAGTACTAGAACGAGCAACACGAGTTTGCTTCTTGCTATGCCAAACAATAAAAGAATCACCCAAGAAGAAGCAGAACTTGTAGTAGAGCGGCAGTCAGTAGGATCTCCTGTCCAATCCGCATTAGAAAATGCATGTAACTATAGAGAAGAGTGTGTTGAGTAGTGAAGACCATGTAACATAGTGTTTTTTAGATAGTGTAAAATGTGAACTAGAGCATCATAATGCGGAGAGTGATGAGAAACCATGAATTGACTGACAATGTGAACAACATAGGCAATGTCTGGATGAGTAATCGTGAGATAGACAAGATTGCCAACTAGCTGACGATATAAAATAACATTAGATAATAGTTTACCATCAAGAGGTGTGAGACAAGTCTGAGGATCAACTGAAGTAGTAGTAGTCTTGCAATCGGTAAGACTAGCATTAGTCAATAGATCAGAGATATACTTGGCCTGGGTGAGAAAGTAACTAGAAGGATCATGAGAAATTTCTAAGCTGAGGAAGTAGCTAAGCAAACCCAAATCTTTCGTCTCAAATTGGTGACTGAGGAACTGTTTGAGACTAGAGATACCCACTGTGTCATCGCTAGTGATGATCATATCATCCACATAGAGAAGAAAAAGAATAATACCACGCTCTGTCTAACGTATAAACAAGACAGAATCATAAGCATTAGAGGAGAAGCCAAAGTCATGAATGGTAGAACTGAACTTGGCAAACTAGGCACGAGGAGCTTGTTTCAAACCATACAAAGCACGACGAGGTTTGTAAACTTTAATGGATGGGACAGAGGAACTAGGAGGAGGTTGGATATAAACTTTCTCAGTGAGATCACCATTGAGAAGGGCATTCTTGACATCCATCTGACAAAGACCCTAGTGGCGTACAGTAGTAATTGCTAATAAGCTGTGAACCGAAGTAAAACAAGCAACATGAGCAAATGTTTCCTCATAGTCAATCCCATACTCTTGAGTGAATCTCCGAGCAACAAGACGGGCTTTGTAACGTTCAATGAAACCATCAGAATGAGTTTTGATTTTATAAATCTATTTACAACTAACAGCAGTCTTGCTAGGAGGAAGATCAACCATATCCCATGTATGAGTTTTATCCAAAGCCTACAGTTCATTAGTCATAGCTTACTACCAAAGAGGGTTAGAGCAGGTCTCATGATAGGAAGTAGGTTCATGAGAGGAAAAAACAGTAGAACCAATAATATAATCACGGAGAAGAACAGAAAGTTGTTTTACCCAAGTCGAATGACGATCTGCTGGAGGAGATGGTGGTGGAGATAGAGAAAGCTCCATAGGATATGATGGAAGAGGCTCCACAGTATGTAATAGAGGAGGCATATGACCATCGTCAGAAACAGAAACCTCATGGCGTTGGATTGGAATCTGCATCAAATTCAGGAGACAACAAGTCTATAGAAAGATTAGTAAAAACTAGGGAATGGGTGGACTGTGGTAGGTGAAACTTAGACAAAGTAGAGAACATTTTGTGTTCCCAGAAAACCACATGACGAGAAATACGAAGACGCTTGGAGACTAGATCCCAACAGCGATACCCTTTATGTTCTATACCATACCTCAAGAAACAGCAAAGACGAGAACAAGGTTCTAGGTTAGTGTGTTCATAAGGTTGAAGGAAAACAAAACAAGCAAAGCCAAAAACTTTAAGAGTGGTGTAGATAAGAGGAGAACCATACAAATGTTTATAAGGAGAAAGATTGGTTATGAGAGGAGTAGGCACACGATTTATGGTGTAGATAGCAGTGAAAGTAGCTTCCTCCAAAAACTTTTCTGGACATAAAGAGGAGATAACAAGGGCTCGAGTAGTGTCTAGAATATGACGATACTTTCTTTCAGCGCGACCATTTTGTTGGGACGTGCTTGCACAAGAATGATGAGGTTGGGTACTATGTGCCCGAAGAAAGGAAAGAAAATCAGAATCCAAGTATTCCATAGCGTTATCAGAACGAAAGATTTTAATAGTTTAAGAAAACTGAGTGTGAACCATGGCAGATAAATCATAATAAACCTGCTTAAGTTCAGACCTATTTTTGAGAAGAAATATCCAAGTATAACGAGAAAAATCATCAAAAAAAATTACAAAATATCTAAACCCCCCCATGGTCAGGGTGGGGGAGGGTTCCTAAATATCTAAATGCGTAAGAGCAAACGAGGGAGTAAAAATAGAATTACTATTATTAAAAGGTAATGCAGGCTGTATAACAATTTGACAAGGTAAACATTCAACATTTTCAGAACTAACACGACCTAACCGACCACTAGAAACTGAAGTTTTTAAACGAATAAAAGAGACATGTCCTAAATGACAATGCCAAAGGTGAAAAGAAGACATAGAAGTAGAAGTAGTGGAAGAGACAACAAAAGCAGTAGTGGATGATGTAGATGGAATGCGAAAATGAAGAAGCTCGAATAGACGTCCATGCCTACGGCCTATCCCAAGGATCTGTTTCATCTGAGGGTCCTACACTAAACAACCATTAGCAAAAAAGGTGACGGTGTGACCAAGTTCACACAATTGACAATAGAGATAAGGTTTAATTTTAGAGCGTAGGAATGTGATAAACATTAGAAAGAGATATAGTGGAAGTAGAAATTTGACCAATATGACTAATAGACATATGAGAACCATTAGTAGTATGTATAGGGGGAACAAAAGAGGATGATGAGATAGAAGAAAATATGGTAGAATCAGAGGTCATATGATTACAGCAAGTGGAATCAAAATACCATGAAGGATTACCTGATGTGACTGAAAAAGCAGGAGAAGGAATAGTACCGGATTTGGCAAACACCTGCTGGATAATGGACTCAACATCATCCATAGAGAATGATGGAGCAATAGGATCAGTAGAGTGGTGAGTCCAAGAACCCTCTGATGCAGCAACAGCAGCAGTAGCATGACGAGAACCGGGAGTAGATTTGGACTGATGCCTAGAACGTGAAAACCCTTTCTTGGACGAAGAAACAGGGGGAGCTCGAGGACAATTGCTTCGGAGATGACCTGGAGCAATCTTGTGGCAAGTCAAGCATTCACGAACTTGGCACTGAAGTAAAGAATGATTGGCAGGTAGGCCACGATTGCAACAATAAATGCATGAGCTAGGAGACTATGAAGATGAAGAACCCTGTGATGATGGCATAGCAAGAACCACTACAGGAAATGCTTGTTTTAACAGCGTTTATTTGACGGCGTTTTTTTAAAAGCCACTTTTAATACTACTTAATGACGTTTTATAAGTGTTGCATTTTGTATTAATTAAAACAGTACCGTTTAGCTAATAGAAGGCGTTTGTAAATGCCTCCAAATGTGTTACAATCTCTCACGCGCTCTCTCTCCCTCTCTCTTGAAACCCACATTCTCTGCTGGGCACCCTCAAATCTCTCGTTTACTCTCTTCGCTTCAGCTCGGTGATATTGATTTCGTAAAGCAGCTTCCTTTTCATAAATCAATACCTTGCCCCCTTCTCATAAATCAATATGTAGCTCGATGATTCGGCTCGGTGATTTCGATTTCGAAGTTCTCTTGCTCGATTTGGAAGCTCCACCGCCACCGCCATTTGCATCGTCTACTAAGGTGAGTCATCTGCATCGATTTTGATTCAATCTCAGTTTCGTATTCTCTCTCTCTCTCTCTCTCTCTCTCTCTCAAGCTCGTCATTCCGTCGATTCTTCTCCTCCGAGGGTTTACAATCTTGAATCTCCTCCTAGGGTTTGCCCCTTGCGATTTCAAGCGGTAAATTCTCTCTCTGATCTTGAAATTCATATTTAATTATAAATTTGTTGTGAGAGATTTGAATTTGAATCCATGTGTTCATTTGATTTGAATTTGAATATGAATATGAATTTATAGTTGTCAAATCGTGAAATTCAATCTATGATGCTATGATGTTGAACTTGAGTGATTGCTTCCTCATGAATTTACTTGAGTTATTGTGTGCTTGTGATCTCTAAGTTTATATTGCAATGCTTCCTATTCTTGACCAAAACAATGTAGATAGATTTTCATAGTAGTGACTGAAAGTCAGTCACTGCTGAATTTGTTCATAGCAGTGACAGATTTTCTTGCAAGAAATAAGCTCTTTGGCAAATTTGCAACAACTCTTTCTTGTTGGAAATAAGCTCTCTGACAAAGTCATGTGTAAAACAAATATTTTAGTGAATAATATTCAGATTTTCAGTGCCTAGATAGCCTCTTTGTTGCTGTTTTTATTATTTGTTTTTGGGTAGAAATTGCTTGCATGAAGTTGAATATTTGTGTAGAAAAATCAGATTTACATGTGTTGTGTTTGTGCCCTGTTATGCCCTGTTTGTGGCTGTTTTTTTTGTATTATTAACTATTTTTTTTGTTTGTTTTTGACTTTCTGTTCTTTTTTCCCTCGTGTCACCCATGTAAAAAATGTTAACATTGATCAAATTCAGATGATTGATGATGTACCTAATTTGAGCTTTCTTGACTGTAGAAAACTACTTTCTCTTTCACCCAATGCTGTGGGTGCTAATCAGACATCTGAACATGGTCTTCTCTCTGAGCTCAACGTCGATGGTTCTATGCTTAGTTCTGGAATTCTGCGACCAAGTTTCTCTTCTATTGTTGATGAAGTGTTTGAGCTTGAGAGAGGGTCATCTGCACCTTCTTTTTCTAGTTAGAGTCTCTCTTCATCATTTAATGCATCTGCTGCAGCGCATTATGGCTCTGTTCCAATGAATTTTCAGAGTATGAAAGTTGGAACCTCCTCACCTAAGCGAAAGGGAGGAACACAAATAGCACAGATCAATAATGCTCCTAAAGTTTCTGGTGGATCTCTCAATCATAAGAATGGCTCTATTTATTCAACTAGCAATTTGAAGGGCATCATGTAATCTAGCTCTGTGAGTTCACCACCTTCTGGTTTAGGAAGGAGCACAACTTTGAAGAAACTGTCTGCTTCAAAATCTGACCAGGATTTGGCTTCTCTTAGATCTCCACATTTTGCTAATTCTTGTGCCACAGTGGATTTGTCTTCTCCACCAAGACTGACTGGCCCCCAAGTTTCTGCACCAATTGTAAAACGTAACGGGCCTAGAACCTCAGCAATTGGATCTTTTAAAGTTTCTGGATCTAGCCCTTGGGCTACAGCTACCATATGTAAGTTACTTTGATTTTATCTGTGTTAGCTGCGACTTATAAATTTCAATTAAATAGTAATTTTGTAGTTAATTGTATTTGTGATAAATGTGTTCCTTTCAGCCGAAGCACCAGATTTTGCAGTTAGTCCTAGCTCAAATCTTGATGCTGTTACTAGACATGATAGAAGATCAAGAAAGCGTACAGTTTCAGATATGTTGAACGTGATTCCATCACTTCAATGTTTAGAACTCCAGTCAGATTTAGTAAGAGAAGAAAAATCATGGATTCGGGATTCAGTCGTCAGACTTCACCACAGTCACTCATTTCATCGGAGATGATTGGCAAAACTGAAGGTTACAGTTATGCAAGTCTAATTGCTAAAGCAAATAAAGGAAATGCACCCTCTAGCATATATGTTTCAGCACTTCTTCATGTGGTCAGGCGTTCCTCACTTTGTATCAAGCATGCTCGACTATCTAGCCAAATGGATGCACTTGACATTCCATATGTTATCATTCTGTGGAGGCAGATAGCAGCAAGAAGTTAGTGGCAGATATCCAAAGGCTCTCCAATGCTAGAATGTTTGCACTTGGAATGCAAAAACTGCTTGGAGTAAGACCAGATGAGAAACTAGAAGAAGACAATGCAAACTCCGATGGTAAAGCAACAGCTGGAGCAAAAAGTGCTCTCGAGGCATCTGACAAATTTTTGGAACAAATGAGGAGGGCTTTTCGCATTGAGGCAGTTGGCTCATGAGCTTGTGGTTTAGTTTTGGTTCGGGGGTGCTTGCTTGCTTTGTTGTCGAGTGGGAGTCTGGTAAAGAGGGATCCACGATGCATGTTTCTCCTGACCAGCTTTGGCCTTATACCAAGGTTTGTCTATTTTGTTTTCTATCTTTATTGTGTTTCGTTTCCATTGTTTGGATTTGACTTAATCTCCAACCCCAGAATCAAATACTTCCCTACAGCTTGGCCATCCCAGATGGACTAAGCTGCTTTTCTTTTTCTTTTTTTTTTGTTTGTTTTTGACTCTCTGTTCCCCCCCGACCCCAACAAATATTTAGTCTAATGGAAATCAACCTACTTCAATTATTTTCTTTTTCTTTTTTTGGAAATGTTACAGAGGTATTTTTGTATATATATACACTGCAAGGTTGTTATAAGGTAGGGTTAAACTTGTGATATGCTTTACAGTAGCCACATGTTAGCTATAGGTTAAGACAGTTGCAGTCAGAGTCAGTGAGGAAGCTACTTATGGCCTAAGGTCTCCAAAATTCATCCAATAACCCTATATTTTGGAGTATTTCTATAATGTATATGACATGGTCCCTAAATTTTTCCAAAATTCTTTTGGTTTTCCTATATTTCATGAGTATTTTTACAGCGTATATGGGATGACTATTCACATATTAACATTATATAATAGCATCAATGTGTACTTTGGCACCCAAAAAGAATACAATATGTAAAAGCATTTTTTTTTAAATACAAAAATTATAGAGGTATTTTTTCATTCATAGAGGTATTTCTTTTTAAATAAAGCAGCTACTGTGAAAATAATATAACAAAAATAAGGATCAAGGTAAGTTGTAGTTTCCTAATCAGTTAGTTGAGCTACCTAAGCTTTACCTCTCCATTTCCCAAATGGCCCTTTGGATGTTGTCATTTGTGGCAGATTATACTCCAATGGCTGTGAATGATCTAAACATCACTTTGGATAAAGTTATGCTAATGAACCTTATGTAGTAATGCCATTTTATTCAGATATTCTCACCCATTTGGGTTCACCAGGTAAGTTCAATCTAAATCCGGCCAGCCTTATCAGATTGTTTTTGGGTAGCTTTTGCCACTATATAAAATTAATTATCATAGTTTCATGTGGTTACCACCCAATTTTGGGTAGCTTTTGTCAATTTTGAATTTGTCAGAGCGATGGGTTGTTTCTTTGGTTGCTTCTGAATCAGAGACGATCATCGCCACCCCCCAACTCATCTCGTCCCAGAACCACTTCCTTCAAAGGTCAGAGTACTCCTCTGTGTGTGTGTGTGTGTGTGTTAAATTCTCCTTTTTCTTGTTCTGAATTGTGAGTTTTGTTGTTTGTTTTTCTGTTTCTAAATCAGGAACCTGTTGTATCTCAGAATCCTCTGTCATCTCTATTACTCGCTGATGGTAATTTGTTTTTGTTGTATGTTGATTCAATGTTAATTCGATTCTCTCAGATCTTGTTTCATTCCAAAGAATTGTAGTACATATTGAGTTTTTTTTTTTTTTTTTTTTTTTTTCAGCTTTAAATGGATAATTTCACCATTTGGGGAGAAATTTTGATTTTTATGTGTTTATATGTTATATTATATGTATACGAAATAGTCATTTATTCCTGAATTCTAACTAGTATTTATTTTTATTTTTATTTTGTTTATTGTTAAATTGAAGATAAAGATATTGATTTCCATGTAAGGATAAGGAAAATCCTTCCTTGAGAACTCCTGAGCATGGCAACAACAACAGGGAGCTCAAGGATGAGGTGTGTGTTGTTATTTGCTATCGGTTTTTTTTAAAGTAGTTTTGAGGAGGTATGATCCGGTAACTAGGGGACACATCTATTCTATATTAAAAGCACACAACTCAAAAAGAAAAATTTTGTCATGCCTTTTTGATTTTCCAAAAATACCACTGAATATGTTAACTACAAATTCCATATCAAATTACTGCTCTAAATCGTTTTCAAATTCAGCCTATTTTCATCATCATTTATTAAATCAACCAAAACCACCAAAAAATTAGACAAGTATTTGATATGCAAGGCCATATCCATGCCTATGTTCACTGGCTCTTGGTATGCTATTACTTGTTGGGTTTTAGCTCACCGTATTCCTCGTATATGTATATAGGTGATGAGGTTTGAACAGTGGGCTTCCTGTTTTGGTTGTGTTTACATATTGTGTGAATACTAGTGCCTGCCCTTAGACTTGGCTTGGAACTTTTTGTTTTGTTTTGGCGCATTGTATATATTGAGACATGTCTCTTTTGATTTGTACTTCTTAATTTATAGATGTTATCATTTGTATTTGTGCCATAAGTTGGTAAATTTAATGTATGAAAGTTCATTTCACATGAGTTAAGCACTTGCTTTGATGGGTTTATTGTATTAGGAATTTGGGATTGTACACGTTTTATATGAGTGTACTTTTGCTTTGAATTTGCTTTTTTCTCTCTCTCACTCTCTCTCTCTCTCTCTCTATATATATATATATATATATTAAAAATAACCTTCTACGGCATACAAAATTATGTCGTGGAAAGTGTAATAATTTATGACATGCAAGAAAATGCTGTAAAAGATTGGCATAAAAAGTATGCCAAAAATATACTAAAAATAACCTTTTACGGCATACAAAATTATGTCATGAAAAGTGTAATGATTTATGACATGCAAGAAAATATCGTAAAAGATTATATACGGCATACATAGTATGTCATAAATATATTAAAAATAACCTTCTACGGTATAAAAAATTATATCATGGAAAATATGATGATTTATGGCATGACAAAAATGTCGTAAAAAGTTATATATTACATACAAAGTATGTCATTAATGCTTAATTTATCACTTTTTACAACTTTACTTGCATGCCGTAAATGACGCTCAACTTTCAACGGCATGTCATATTGCGGCATTTGTGTGCATGATATGAAAGAGTTTTTACGGCATGCATTGCAAGTCGTAAAAATTCAATTTTGTTGTAGTGAACAGAATCCAAGTTTTGAGTTTTGAGCATCCCAAAATTAGTTTCTTCTAACAAGAGTTCGGTAATGGCTTGCTCTAAAGTCGGTAAGGGCAAATAATGATGCAAGGAAGCACGCACAGGTTCAAAGGTACTATGAAGAGCTATAAGAAACTGCAATAGCCGATGATGATTCCTATGAACAATAAATAATTGTGCATTCTTAGAATGTGCCCAAGTAGGTTTAGAAAGAGCCAACCGGTCCCAGACAGATGACATCTGGGATAAAAAATCATTGATGGACTGACCAGGCTCTTGGTGCATGTGATAAAGAGTTTGTAAAAGTTGATATTGGTAAGCATGTCCAGTAGTTTGATAGCGATCCTTCAAGAAATCCCAAATTGCCTTGGCAAGAGAAACAATGGAATCATCATCCTGAAAGCGTCCAAATTGAAGGTTAATGGAAGGAACAGAAGTAGCCCGGAACCATGTAATAATCTCTTGTAGTTCTTTCCTTCCCATTCATCAAGATGCTCATCGAAAGTTGATGCAGTCTCTTTTTCTTCCTGGATGGGTTTAGAAAGAGCACTAGTGATAATACGCCAAAGCTGCTTCCCTTTGATGAATCCAGAGAGACCTTGGGCCCAGAGAACATAGTTGGACCTATCAAGTGTAACGGAGATGGAATGGATGTTGTTAGAACGATCCATGATGCTCAAACAATGCAAAAAAAAAAAAAAAAAAAGAAAAAAAAAAAGGTCTTTGTAGAGGCTAATTTTGCCAAAATAAAACACACCAGCAGATTTAGGAAACCAAAAACAGTTGGAATATGGTCTGAACGGGCCAAAAAAACGACCATAAAGTTAGTGAATTGGTTGGTCAAAGTGGTTTGACCAATTTGGTCAACTAGGGTTGATGTCACAGCAAAAGGGATGGCGTTAGTATGCGCGATGCACGTTCGCAAGCGGAGCAGCAACGACGCATGGAACCAAGGCAGACATCAGCTGACTTTAGAAACACGCAGCTCACGTTAGCAGATGAGGTCGCAGCACACGATGGCGCTAGACAAGAGCATGAGGCGCGTAGAACGAGTGGAAAAATGGCACATGTAACGCCCCTCCAAAAGTACACAATAAATATAACCCAAAAGCATATATGAATAATAGCATAAATCAGAGTATAATGTTCTTTCACTTTATAACATAATAGTACAAAGAATTTAACGTAAATAAATGCCCTATAGGCTTACATCTTTTCAAGTCTTGGCTTGGTTACAACAAAAGTAAGACTAGCTCATACATTTAAGCCCTAGGCTATACAAAAAAAAAAAAAAAAAAAAAAAAAAACAAAAAAAAAAAAAAAAAAAAAAAAAAAAAAAAACAAAACAAACAAACAAACAAAGAAGCTCTTGCTTCCCAAAAAGTCCCTCGAATGTTATTGCATTGGTGGAGGCATGACATCATTACCTAAAAATGTTTTTCTCAAATAGGGTGAGTCCCAGGCCAGTAGGAATAATCTAAAACAGTATATGAAGTTAAGCAAATATATAAGTACAAAGTGCATATACAATGTGTAGACGCGCCCGCGTGGGCCCCGCTACAGTTCGGACTCGATTTGTGTCACGGTTCTCAATCTGAACCAAAGAGTCCAAATCCGGCAAATCGTTTTGAGAAACAGATTTTTTGAAAAGAAGTGCCAAACATGGACTGTTTTGCCAGATACAGAGTCGCCACCTAAATATTTTAAAAAAGGGAAAATTTAGGAAACCCTGACTCGGTGCCAAAGGCCACGTGTCCATCATCACCAGAGTTGCCTCGGTTCGGAAACTTGGGTACGATCGGGGAAGGTCAGCTATGAGCATCCCCTCTCGCCCGATCCGAAGATCGGCCTCTACTAACCGTGATATCCGTTTTTGAAAACGTTATGTGTTCTTATCCCGATTATTAGCCTAGAATTATTATGTTATGCGCACAGCAAACAAGTATAGACTAGATTGCCTAATTTGGAAATAAGCATTGCATATCCGTTTGTTTTGGAAAATGTTTTGAAATTTGCTACTCGCAAGTAGGCTAAAAACATGGATTTCAATGAGCTATTCCAACTCAGGCAACCCAATCTTCACCCATAAGCATTCAAACAGTTTATCACGTAAGCATCTAGCCACATGGTAAGCATGCTGTCATGATAGCATTCACACGCATGCGATATGCTAAAGCATGAAAATACTTACATCGTACTCCGAGCCAAAACAAGAAACTAGTTAGTAATCATGCATGATCCTAGTTCATGTTAAAATGGCTAATGCATCACATGCAGAATGTCACTAGAATAGGCTCGGCTAATCTATGGATGGTATGTGAAATGCAATCAATTGATACACGTATTCAATTTGGAATCGAAGTACAATGCAGTTAGCATGATGTACCGAGCCTGGTGTACGCAATACAAATGTATGGATGCACGCATGCGTAGCATAAGGTATGCTAATTTAAACCTGTCCTATTACTAACCATCAAAGCAGGTAAGTAAAAGGGAAGAAAGAAGTGGGGATTGGAAGACATGCATACACACTTATTACAGATTCTCCCTCGCTCGGAGGGACCAAATAAATATTACAGATAATTAACCTACAAGCTAATTAAATATTACATGCCACCTAATTAATTAACAAATTAACTAAGCATAAGAAAAGCAATAACAGGGGCCCCGGGAAGAGGGTTCGATGCGCGCGTGCTCGGTCCTGCTCGGAAGTGCACTGCCATGCGCAAGCTGCCTCTGTTTTCCCTGCTATACTCCTCTGAAGGCTGCCAAAGTCTCAAAATTGCTTCCCTGGACATTGGGAGACACCACCGGCTGAGTAGAATGGCCACCGGCAGTGGTATGTGATCATCCGCTGTTGGTGAAGCTATCGTCCCAGGAATGATTGCCGGTTGGCACTTAACACTGCCGGTCGGCAGAAAGTTCCTGCAGAATCTGCAATTGACAGCAGCAGAGGGCAAGACATAGCATGGCAATGCAATTCAAGCAATGTATGCACCAATCATGTCCCTTATCATGTTAATGACTCAAAGGGACATGCTCCTTGGTTCTCGGACCATCAATCGTGCATTTCCATGCGTGATGGCCCAAGGGACCAAGTGTGCACATTTTGATGTTAAGTGCAATGCAAACCATCAAACCAAAGGGAGACTTAACCTCTATCATGGATAGTCAAGAGGCCAAGCATGCATGCCAATGCAATGCAACCTAAGCATGTTAACTAGGCATGCAATACGGCAATGCAAATGAGCATGCAAGAAATGCAAGGCATAGAGCAATGCAACTAACAAGTGTGCAAGGCTAATGTAGGCATTCAAGCATGTAAGCCAACATGTGACTTCATTCAATCATGTGATTTCAAACATGCAACAACTCACCAATGTGCTACAACATACAAGGAGAGCATGCAACAAACAAAGGGATGGACTTAAACTAAATTAGGCAACTCTAACTAGGCCTAAAACAGTGGCCAAAACTTAAGAAATGGGACCAAACACACTTGCACACATGCACATGTTAATGGGTCTATACTTAAGCAAACAAAGACAACTTTCAAGTGCATTTAAAAGAGGCTAAGCATGGGCATGGGGCATGCATTAAGCTCTAAAAATCATGCAAGGACATGGTGCCAAACCAAGCAAACAAGATAGGCTAAACATGCAACAAATGGCCCAAGCATTCAAGGCAAGCTAACGAAGTATTGAACTACACTTAGCAAGACCAAACACGGCATGAATTTAATGACCAAAAACAGAGTTTTAGCACATAAAACAAAGCCCAAAAGACCACTTAGATGGCATCTAAATGGCTTGAATTCCAAAGTATGCACAATGGCCAAAATATGGAGCATATAACACAAGCTCATAAGTCATCAAAGAGGCATTCAAGGCAAGCATACAAGCATGCTAAAGGGACTGAAATGATGCTATAAACGGTGCCAAATCATTAAAACAAAGCGAGTAATGCATGCTACACACTCGCACACTTAAGGCCAACAAGCCAAAATGCAAAGGGACTACACTAAACATGCCATGGCCGACCAAAATGACTAAGGATAGACCTCTAGCATGGCAAAATAAGCATAAAGGCTTCACAAAGCTAGACCTAAAACATGCTAGAACAATGGCTTACAACCTAAGGCATGTTAAGGCCTAAACATGGCATTACAAGGTAGGTATGCTAAGCATGCATGGTGTACCAAAACCAACAAAAAACAGAGGCATATTATGACATAATAAGCACAAAAATCAGCCTAGGCATGGTCAACATGAAGCTTAGCTAGGTGCTCCCTCAAGAGGCCAAAAATGGTCCATTTCAAGGACAACAAGGAGAGGGGGTGGCCCTCTCCTC